TCTCTCCCCTCTCTCTCTTTCTTTCTCACTCTCTTTCTCTCTCTTCTTGCGTTGCTAATCAACTGCTTGCGCCTCTTTCGCGCGAATCTCAGACGACAACGACGACAACGAGCGACGACGACGACGACGTTTATCGACCCTGTGGGAGAGAGTGGAAAAAAAGCGCGAGAGCGAATATTACGTTCTTGACGAAAGTCATCGAGATGGTCCTCGTGAAACGCGATGCCGACGTTCTTAATGTCGTAGCTCGTTGTCTCGCGAAGTCTGCGATGGTAATCGGCACCGTAGCCGAGGGAAATATCGTCGCTGGTGCTTTGATCGTTAATTGAAAGTCCGTTTTGCGTGCGCAAAATACACCGACCGGCTTAGTGTGATTTCTGTCGCCGTCGTAAAACCGTTCGCATAAACACTAGTTAAAATTCACGGAGGATTTCAGAGAGACATCCTTTTTACGAAAACAGATTTACAAAAGTGATAGAGAATCAAATCCCCATTAATTTTACTCAATGCTTATGGGAACGATTGGTAAAGGAGGAGGTAGGGATGTAGAAAACTCATCGCGATATCGTTTCTACGAGATTGATGAGTAATTTTTTTATAAATCTCGTTTGTGTCGTACTCTCCTATTTTGAATTTCATGTATCTCCGGAGATACAAGTGAAATTATATCGAATAATTTCTGTTTATTACAATGAAAAAATTGTATATTTTCTAAAAAAAAATTATATATCTCGTCATCTGAAAGTTCTCTACCTCTTCTATACTTTTGCTTGTACTGTATGTATTACGAACTGTGAATTTGTCGTTCTAGATAGATGAATAGATAGACGTAGATTCATCAATGATGCCACGATATTAAAAATTAAAATCAGTATAATTTCGCGGAGCTTGTATTTTGACTGCCGCAGATATGGAAAAGTGCATTTTGCTACAATAAGTGTAGAGCGTTTTCGATTCGTAAAATTTTCAACGCGCTGAATAATTGAAATTAGCTTCTATGGGCTTAAGGATTTAATTCAAAAATTCATACGGAGAAGCTATCGTTAAATGTTTTAGAGTATTAAAAATTGAGTTTTTACTATATGTATTTAAGCCACTTTTCACCGTGAAAGTATTTTATATACTCGGTTATAATTCCCCTCTCTCTCTTTTCAAGTTTTAATTAACGTTATTCTTACAAATATTTATTCGGATGCAAGCAGACCGTTTCGAGGAGTAAGAGCTCAAGAAAATTAAATCTAATCTTATCCCGACAGAGCGTTGCGTGAGCACGCAAAATCACGCAAGGTCGCGCTATACGCCGAGATTCATTTTAACGTATCTGCAGCATCGGAAATGAGCTGGAAAGTCGTCGAAATTATGCCAGTTTTAATTCACGCGCGATACCGATCTCCGCGATGCGATCGCTCGCTTCGACTACGGCCGTGCCGTTTAGCAGCGCGAAAGAGAAGACTCGGGAAATGCCGCTTGCGACTCCTGCTATCGAATCACGCTTTGTCGTTTACCTGTTTATTCCTATTCACTAGTACACACCGCGATGCCTGCGGGATCGCCGTCCTCGCTACTCACAATCCCGGTTATTATTCCGTCCGTCACTTCGACAGTGTCGGATGGAATCTCGGTAATTGCAATTGCGCGAGACTCGAGCTCGCAGATTGCGGAACTTTTGTTTAAACGAGGGGTCTCCGCGTCTTAAAGATGCCCGTCGATCTCTGCACAGGCTGGGCTAGAAATTACCGCGCCGAGAAGAAGCGAATGAGAAAAGTTCACGGGAAACAAAAGCACGCAGCTTCCTCTATGAGGAAGCGAAACGACAACTGTCAGTTACGCATAGGGATCGCTGAAGCGATCATTATTGTTGGCACGGATCTCAAATGCTGTTTGTTTCGAAAGGGAATTATAAAATTTCAGTTTCGAGTGTAAACCAGTGGTTATTCATTTATGGATACGCGGGTCGGTCGCGTGATTGCCAATGAATCCCCTCGCATTTCATTTTTTTCACCGTTTCGCCGGTCATATGCATCCCATTTAATCTCTCGAAATGCTGACGTTAACTAATGCATACGTGTTATCCGAAAAAAAAGCAGTCGCTATAAAATGCATGGAAATTTTTATCTTCCACGCATTTCCACGCTCTTTACCCTTGCACATCCGAGGGAGAGTTGCGTGATTGATTCCGAAGGCAAGGCTTCCTAACAAAAATTGGATATTATTACATCGAGGCAGCTGCGTACAAAGCATTTCAATCAACTCTGAACTTTAACTTCAAATTCAAACAAGTTTTATATGTCACGGCGCGATTTGTATACTGCAGAAATATAATACATTAATATTCAACATTCCTAGGATTATCAAGTTTCGATATCAAATTTTCTTGTCGGGCATGATTAATATTTCTTGTTAAAGTAAATATCAAAATTAATTACAGAACAAGCTTCGCTCTCACTTCTCGCTTTCAATTACCCGCCTTCGGCCGCTGAAGGAACTATTCCGGGCATTTCTCTTTTCGAGATGATATTGATTCTAAATATTCCATAGACACTATAAATGGAAGTGACAATCGATTAGACGTGCTCTACACATTAACTATACGTGAGCAACATAGATAAAGCGAAGGAAACAAATGACAAATAGAAAGGCGTGTAACTCTTTCGTTTTATCTAGAGGCCCTGTAATCAGATACAGCCCATAAGAGTTTGTCAAATTCCTGCGAGATAGCCCATGTTTTTCTCTCACTCACAGGAATTTGACCAACTCTTACGGCCAGTCTCTGATTACAGGGTCTCTAGTTTTATCGAGGCTATACTGTTCCCCGTTGGCTTTTTCTCCAAGCTAAAATCGTGGAAAATTTTTCGGAGTAGCGACCCTTGACCCAGCCTGTGGCGCTCAACGGGTAAATACACTCAAACTTTTTCCAATGTCAGCACTATCGAGATTCTACCCTCGTACCGAAAGGATTGTCGCGAAATATCATCGTCAAAATGATTTACGGGTGACGGCGGTTTCGTCGGGACGACCGCGAATGCGTACCCTCCCGGCAATTTCGCCGAGGAAGGGAACGGAAAAGGGTGGCCTAAAGACCCGAGCAACGCATTCCGCGAGGGCGGAATGAGAGGTGGCGTGGGAACGAGGACGCGGGGGAGGACGAGAGAGACGTTTCTTCTCTCCCCCCGCCGATTCGTGACCCGCAAGATCAACGAGCCCGCACGAGGACGGGGTAACGGACGTAAATTTTTCATATCCGAAAGGCGGAAGTGCCGGTGGCGGCAGCAAGCGATCGACCCAGGCGACGATCGTGGTGCAACAGCCGTCCTTGTCCCTGGACGCGCCCGCGGCGACGATTCTGTTGCACCCGGACGCCGACGCCAGGCGACGCGAGGAGAACATGCGGCAGCTGCTGGACGTTGCCAACACCCTCACCCTGCAGGAGATACACGACTTCGAGATGAGGTAAGCAGATATCGAGCGTTGCTGCGCCACTTTCGCGACACGGAAAACGATACGATCGATATCGGTGATACAGGCCTATATAAAGAAACGCGTTTCGAAGAGAGATCATAGTTTACTGACCGGGACTTAACCGACGACGTTGTTATCAATTTTTAGCGGCGTGTTATCACTGGTTTTCATTTCGGCGCATTTCACGATCTGTACTTTTAATAAAAGATATTCTAGGTAACGTAGCCAACAAGACGTCAAGATATTAAGAAGATATTAAACCGCGCCGCGCGCCTAACGCGGTGAGCCCAATAAAAATTCTTTTCTCTCGTGTATTTAAAGTAATTTAGTGTTCTCTCGGTCGCGATAAAAGGAAGTTTGCCCGGAAATTTTGTCGGAAGTTCTAGCCAGGGATATTCAATATTTATGGATTTATATCGGAATATCTCAGAAGGAAACGTCCATACTTCGAAAGAGCATCAAGCACTTTAGATAGAAAGATTTATAGACACGTGTCCAATTCTAAATGTGTTCCAAAACCATAGTGGTAACGGAGCATCTCCAATATTTCCGAGATTTCAACGTGTTTAATAATAAACAGTAATACACTTTTTAACCATTACGACACGCTCTCAGAAAGTTTTCAGTTCAAATATATTATACATTCTTCATAGTTTTGTAACATACGTTCATAGTAAGCGTAACGATTAAAGATTAATTAATTAATTGAAAAAAGTCAATCGTGCCTTAAAAAAGTCAAGAAATTATTTGGAAATATATTAAAACAGACTATCACATTTTACGAAAGATTTTTGAACTTTCATCAATGATTTAATTCCCCGAAGTATGACCTTTCCTTCTGGGGCGTCCTGCACAGTCAGTATATTATCAGGTAGTGACGATCGGCTAACCCGCAGATACGGAAGTCCCCATCATAGCCGATCACAGTCGGTGAAGGCTCCTGGGAGTCGCTCTTCCGGTCGGCCGAATTATCTGTGTCTTCCGCAACAGAGATCGCGAGTGGCGAGTATGCCCAATACCGGCGTGGAGGAGGAGTACTACAGACTACGGCACTTCAGCATCACGGGCAAGGGGGTGGTAAACCGGGGCGACTCCCTAAAGAGCCGCAGATCGCGCTCTAACAATAGCGTGGCGTCCAGCAACTCCAGGTGAGTTCAAGCATAGTTAATGGGGGGGCGGGTGTTATAATTTGACAAACATTCTTGTGATATGAACCGGTAAGTACTATGCGTTCCAATTCTGAAACGTTTGAGTGCTGGAAATCTCGAGCATTCGAATGACGCGGAGTTATATTCGCCGAATCTCATAACTTCCCAATTTAATTGAGACGTACACGGAAAGACCGGCTAAGGCAAAAATAACTAAACTAAAAGTATACCAAAGTGTTGTGAAGGCTCCCAAAAAGAAAATATGTAGAAAGGAGAGAGAGAGTGCCAATGTGAGCCACAAAATGAACGGAACTCGGTTCTCACAATGTAGAATCAAAATTTCTCTTTAATAGCATGAACGTTTCGATCCTTCTTCGGGTCTTCCTCAGTAAAAAAACTACAATGAGATCGTCGCAAGTACAGGATGAGAATACAGTACAACTTATAATACACTTATTTTATGGGCAATATTTTAGGGGATCAGTGCACTATGTGACTTTAGATATTGCCTTATGCTTTATTCGGTCTAAACGAGGTAACCGACTATAATTGTTGAATCTGTATTATAAGTTGTACTGTATTCTCATCCTGTATTTTCGACGATCTCATTGTAGTTTTTTTACTGAGGAAGACCCGAAGAAGGATCGAAACGTTTATGCTATTAAAGAGAAATTTTGATTCTATATTGTGAGAACAGAGTACCGTTCATTTTGTGGCTCACATTGGCACTCTCTCCTTTCTACATAAAATAAAAATGTTGCCGTATAAATAGTAGGGGCATCTACATTGTCTTGTGTTGCAGCATTCACTAAGTTTGCTGCACAAAACGCATATAGTTGTCTCCACTACTTATCACGTGGTAACCATATCGGTCTCTCCGTGTAGAAATCGCGCAATTTTTAAACCCCTCGTGTCACAGACTTGCATTAACTATCAGTAAAATAGATTCGAAGATCCGAGTTTTTTATCATTGCCGCCAAAGAGATAGCGATCTCTACTGATTATCCTCGCGATACATCTTTTCCGCAGCGTATAAGAGTTTTACTGCAAAATTGACAATGTATTTTTGTTAACGCGGTGTCGATAGCAGTAGCGATATCGACACGATCGACAGTTGCGCTTATTACTCTACGATCGAGCTGTGATATTTGCGATTGTACCACGCCGCCTGCCCTTCGCTCTGGAAGGAGCGTAGCGTAGAATATTTCCGGCCTCTATCTCCGGTTCGTCTTCCGGCTCGTCGTCGCGACGGCGAGTTGGACCTGTCGCTCTAGATCGAACGCGTGAGTTTACGTGTGGCGTTGAAGTTACGTAGACACGCGCGTTGGACCTTAGAGCGTGGTCTTTACACACCACGCAAATACGATACACCGAAGCTGGACCCCCCCCCCCCTCCCCCGAGTACTGCGTGGTTGGCATAAAAAGTTGGCGGCTAGCAATGTGGAGATAAAATAATATTCGTCTGTATTTGCTTTCTTTCGGAAATTTCATGGTTTGCATTTCGAAATAATATATTGCATTTCCTACACGACGTGTTCTCCGCTAAGTATTCAAGTGCTTTAATTTGTGTTTTGTATTTGTGAAACACTTTTCTGTAATATCTTTATAATCTCGCCGACTATGCTAGTATATTCGGTGAGATCAGAGTCTATTAAAATAATTTAATTTCTCATTAGATTACACCTTTAACACTTTGCTGCGGAAAGCGAAAAATTTATTTGGTCGATAAATTGAAAAATTAATTAGAGATTAATAAATTGCAACTTTCATTGCGTATAACGGTTATATGTGAGTAACAGTTTCTACCTAATCTTTTGTTGCAATAAAAAAATGTTATCTGCTATTGTTTAATTAATATGTGTAACGCCGGTATTTCAGGATATGTAACGGAGCATATTTAATAAAGAATATAAAGCGAGACGCCATAATGTTTCTTTTACGGAGACTATTTCTACATGTAGGTATATATGTGAATATACTTGACGCGAGATGTTAAAGCGTCTCTTCACAAGATGATATGAATAATAATAGTAAAAGTTAATGTAATATTTAATTATAGCAATAACTTGGATAAAATTAATTTATGTCCTATTTATATATGTTTAAATTTATTTATGCTATGTTTACGCATAAGAATGTCATACATTTGTATGGTTTTAATTTTGAGAAAATGAAAAATATCTTTTGTGAAAAAGTAGGACAAGTAGAATATAAATGTTATTCAAGAAATTCACTTATGCGGAAAAGGTGAAAGGATATCTAAATTCACACACGGCATAAAAAGACACTGCTAACATCACTTACAACGTTACTGAAGATCAAGCTAACTTTATTATCCAGTTATAACCATATACCCTGTTTTAAAATGACACAACTATTGGCATGCACGGACCATATAAGAGAATCTAGGTTTCTCCGAAAAGAATATTTGTATTTAATATAATGTATTGTAAAATGTTCCTCTGTAGCAGCGCTTAATATCGAATTAAGCGAATGAACAAAACGCAAAGTATCAATGACTAACTAGTCGTGTCATTGTAAGCGCTAATCTTATTACTCAGATTCTGCCGACCGAAGTGTGAACGTTGAATATTCACGCGCGATTGAATAAACCTGTTACGATACTCTTTTTTTCCTTTTTAGACGCGAGTGCCGAGTTTGATATCGATATATAAAACGAGGAGTGAATATCGCGTGGAATACATTTCCAATGTACAATATGCAGAATATTTTCTAAAGTTTATATCGAATTGCAGGAGCGTGCTCTGCGACGAAATCGGAGTTGACCTTTCCTCTGTGAACATCAGCGAGATGTAATTTCGAGTGCGTTTAACAGCGAGAAACTAAAATACTTAAGAAAACAAATCCCCTCGGGATATAAGGTGGATATTCTATTTCTTAATCTTAATTAATTGCAGGTAGAACTTAATGGGATTTTAATTTAAAGACTAATCACTTGAAATATTTGACGTTGAAAAATAGAAAGTTGGAAGCAATACGAAGAAGCACACAATTAATCAACTTTTCACCGAGATAAAATCAGTTTATATCTTCGTAGAACTCAGAATTTTACACGAATCTCGCGAGACGACCTGTGCAACACGCGCGCCGCGCGGCATCTAGATTTATTACTTATCTAAGATATCACAAAAAAGTTTAGCGTCATACTATGTTATATAATGTCAACAGATCCATGCATGAGACATGATTGTACTTTATCGCTTACGGTTAATAGGAGTAGTTGAAACAAATAAATTTGGAATTTAAAATAAGATATATTATATTTTCTAAAGAAAATAGTTGCTATTTTTTAATTTTTATATAATGTATCTTGATTAGAAAATTTTCTTTCTAAAAAAGAAACGCGCCTACTTTTAATTTAAAGAGATACTGCGGGATGAAACCGACGCGTGAAATGCAACAATTTTTCATGTAATACATCCTCCTTAAGAAAGCAATTTTTCTTTTAATCTGATCCGGATTACTTGTGCACTAACAATAAGTACCTTACACAAGCATTTATGATTTCTCATTATGTCTAGGAGTTTCGTTTTGAGAGATTACATTGCAACTCAATTCTTTTTATATATTTTTTTCCTTAGAATTCAAAATCAAACAATCTACCTAAGTAGATTCGCTTGAGAATGATGATCGTTTTATTCCGGAAATAATACAGCGGATAAAAGCTTGTTTGAAAATATTGTGGTTTCAGACGTTTCTCATAATAAATTCTTGACCGGCTAAATTATATAAAATGAATATATACTTGTACATACACACGATAAGAGAAAAATCAATATGCATCTTCAATTTTCCAATAGGATAATACTTTTTATTCGGCTGTAGTATTATGGCAAGTCTAAAAAATTTCTGGTAATTGTGCATAAAAGCGACTTCCTCTCCGATTCGCTTGATTTTTAAATATGTTGTTGGGGATGTCTTCCCGAGTAATTTCATATATACAGGGTGGGCCATTTTAATTTATACAGTCGATTTTTTAAAAAACTAAAAGAGA